AAAATTGAAGATATCATCATGAAATGAACAAATCTGAGAGAGGTCTACCCAAGGTACATATACACCAAGTATCAAAGCATTCAGGCTTGTAGTTTTCAAGAAGAAGTCGAAAAAGTAAAACATTGACACGGACGACGACGGACGACGACGACGACGGACAATCACTCATATGATAAGCTCCGCTCGACAAAGTCGACAGCGGAGCTAAATATTGATGCTCCAAAACACTTGTATCTTTTTTTGTCTGTGTTACAAGTTTGTGTGAAACCTCAATGGGTGAAACAAAATTCAAGATGGCCACCCGGAACACAAATTTGCGGTGTTTATTTTTCGCGCACAAAACCCCAACGCGTAATTCGCGTAAATTAAACACCACCAAACATTAACCACTCTACAGTATTCCACTGGATATCTGCATATGTGAGTTTGCAATTTCTCATAACAATTATTATAGAACATCAGAAAATTAGTTGATTTTAGATTTTAGCGAATGTTTAAGATTCTGATAGTTATAACTCACTGTAAAGAGAGAATGTTTAAGATTCTGATAGTTATAACTCACTGTAAAGAGAGAATGTTTAAGATTCTGATAGTTGTAACTCACTGTAAAGAGAGAATGTTTAAGATTCTGATAGTTATAACTCACTGTTATTCTGTAAAGAGAGAATGTTTAAGATTCTGATAGTTATAACTCACTGTAATGGTATTTTCAATGGCGTACGCAAATTAAAATTTGATGATTGACAAGCAAATTACAGGAGTCATAACTCTGGATGTCGGGGTTTTATGAATACACAATTATTTCTTGATGCCAATGTTAAAATATGTTAAAGAAGGTCACCATGTCTCATGCGATGGCGGTGGATTACAGTGTATCAATTTTGTGCTGTTTGTTGTCTTTATTATTCAACATGTTCATTGCTAACAGTGTGAGCAGGGATGCATCTGAAAATATTTGCTTATGATTGAATGGAACACTTGGTTAACCAATCACTGAATAGAATTTAATGTAGGTCAACGCACTTCTATAAACATTGCAGAACGGTGATAATAAATTTTCTGGTATGACGCAGTTTATCCATGTTGCATTTATATTTGTTTTGTTTATGAAAATACGGACGTAGCATACCCCATACCAGACAAACATCAGAACAAGGCAATGGAGCTCTGTCACAGTATCCATCTATACATCATTTGCACCATTGCTATTTACTTTAATATGATATACTCACTTCACTATATACTTAGTATATATTTTTGGAATTGCC